TAACACTTGCACTGTAGAGATACTAGGTTCGAAGCCATGGAATACACATTAGTTCTTTAGTCATCCAATCTGTAAGCTTAGGTAACTTTTTGCTGTCTCGTACTAAATCTTACATACTCTCCCATCAAACTTTAAGGCGTGGCAAAGTAATGGCTGTAGCATTTGGCATGATCGCCTGATTACCAGTAAGTGTTCCAAAGGTTATAACATAAAAGAAATTTTACTACTGAGCACAATGAGTAAACAATGTACTTCCTGTAATATATGTTTATAATGTCTACCTCAAACATGCACGTTATTGGTCCTAGATAATACTGCAACGTCGTGTGGACCAAACGTTCGTACGTGATGTCACTGCGATAACAATTTCTAAACTAAAGAAAGAGTCTGTAAAGCAGAGATCATTGTACATATAACTTATTGACGATGTAAGATATAGCCCGGTTGAAATTGAACATATCAAATGAGTAGATCGATGACACTAAAATAGATAATCCAACTGAATGCGTCAGAACCAGGGTCGTAAAACATACTTCATTATATTTTTCGTGTTGGTACCGTCACACTGGAAAGAATATATGCATTCTAGAAAATTAATGTATTCGTTTCTGCATGTGGTGTTTTAAGATTTTTTAAAAAGTTAACCATCATAAATTATCCGAATTAACCCAAATCTTATTGTAACATGTTTAACACAAATAAAATCAGGATATATTTTGCGTGAATTATTCAATCCCCAGAGCAATGTTCCAAGTTCCAAGTAAGTTATAATCATAGGGGATCATAGGGATTTGGCCATATGCTAGTTTAAGTTCCATTAGAACATGTGAAAACCTTTGCATTTCCTTCTAATTATTTCTTCGTAATTATCAACTCTAAAAGGCTAGATGTATGTATCTCATCATTCTCCGGTCTTTCAGCTGATTGAACAGAGGCAGAACCTTCAACCCAGCGTACTATCCGTTCGAATGAATTGGAATGAACCGTTTTTAACTAATTATTCCCTTAGAGGGCGCCCTAGCGAGTTCTTTCTCGAAGAGGTACAATTACTTGACAAATTGTGAACGACTGTGGAAGACAACAACGTCGGACGACGCTTGACAGACAAGTTAATCTTAATACATTATCATTCGTTTGATTACAGGCAAGACAAACAAATGTTAACTTTGTTTAAATGTTAGAAGAAGTAATTAGAACGTGTCTGTGCGCTCACCACATATGCATTCACACCTTGTATAGATCCGTTTCATTTTAATAAAAGGTTTGTGACCTCTGGTGGGGATTTCTCCTATATATCCCTTTATAATATGGAGGCCTCGTTTGCCAAAAAAATGTACAAAACAGCGTGTTCAGTAGTATTGTGTTTTGTCAATATGTAATTTCGGTAAGTATTCAGGATCTAATTTGGCCTTATCAAACTGTGTAAGATGTTTGATCAATATGACCAAAACACTAAGAACAGTATCTGGTGCAAATATGCTTTAGATGTACTCAATAAGATGAATACGGCCCTGTTTGACAAGAATAAAAAAAAGACATCTGAGTTCATTAATTCTGATAATATTGAGACTAATTGATAACTAATTGATAACTCAGAGTACTATCCGCTCAAATGAATTGGAATGAACCGTTTTTAACTAATTATCCCCTTAGAGGGCGCCCTAGCGAGCTCTTCCTCAAAGAGGTACAATTATTTGACAAATTGTGAAAGACAACAAAGTCGGACGATGCTTGACAGACAAGTTAATCTTAATACATTATCATTGGTTTGATTACAGGCAAGACTAACATATGTTTACTTTGTTTAAATGTAATTAGAACCAATACGCTCACCGCATATGCATTCACACCTTGTATAGATTCGTCTCATTTTTAATGAAAAGTTTGTGACCTGTGCCATTTGCCAAAAAAATGTACACCTGGGAAATCTCACTCAAGTTTAACCAGGACACTGTGAGGATTGACAGTTTGAGACAAATGTCACGTGGTTATGGGTTATAGTGTATATAAATGAGCAAAAACAATCATCTCGGTACGTCATTTAAAAATGTTCTCAATTTATGAAATGACTCAGTAGCAGTTTACTTATCATCAACACTGCCAAAGTCGTTAAGTCAATTCACCCCCACCCCACTTGAGAGAATGTATACGTAACCATGTTTGTCGTTCACTGACCTGCAGTCGTGTGCAAGACGACTGACTTTTTAGAGTCAAAGAAAAAATACCGCAGATTGAATATTATAAGTTATAATCATATGGGTTCACCGAGATTTGGCGATATGCTAGTTTAAGTTCCATTAGAACATGTGACAACCTGTGCATTTCCTTCTAATTGTATAGATCCGTTTCATTTTTAATGAAAGGTTTGAGACCTGTGGCGGGGATTTCCCCTATCTATTCCTTCATAATATGGAGGCCTCATTTGCCAAAAAAATGTACAAAATTTGATTTAGATGTACTCAAACAGATGAATACGGCCCTGTTTCACTGGAGTATGCAAAACAACGACATCTGAGTTAATTCTGATAATATTGAGACTAATTGACAACCCAGTATGGGTTCGTTTTATTAATGGATCATGCATTCATAGGGTTTAGTTTCAAATCAGTTGTACGTCACCTGACTCAATTCAAAAATGTTGTATTTTACATGTAACAATCATAATTCAATATAACAACACATCATTAAATGTATTCGATATAACGTATTTTTCATCTAACTTGATTTATGTAAAACAATGAGAAACCATATACTTCTATGTTTATTAATTATTATCAAAATCGAAAAAGGTATATTCCTGTCCTTCTTCCTGGTTCATGTGGTTACCCAAACATGGCCTAACTGCTTTGTTAGCTCTGTAATAGCTATTCAATTTGATTAATGGGTACGACGAACGCGCCATTTCGGAGAAAACGTACTTGAGAAAGTTCACCCAACCAGGACACGGCTGGGATTGACAGGTTGAGACAAACATCACGTGGTTATGGGTTATAGTGTATATAAATGAGCAGAAACAATCATCTCGGTACATTGCTCAACATTTTGTCAGCAGTCAACAGTGTTAACAGAAAACCGTCAATCCCTGTCATAAGATGAAATTCATTGTAGCAGTGTTGTGTTTCGTTGTCGCATATGTGGCTGCAGCTCCTACTGATAGTACTAGTAGTGTAAGTATGAACAAATCAGTCAGTTGATCAATAACTGTATTTATAAACATATTTGATACATTGTGTATTCTTGATTCCCAATAATACATGATCATTCAAATTCAAACTATATATATATATATATATATATATATAGTTTGAATTTTAGTATATGCAGCTGATCATATGGTGTTTGAATACATTTATTGCATGAAGCCTAAAAATTAACACAAAAACGAATTGTTGTAATTAATTTGTTTCTCCGTTATCACAGTCAGCGATTTTCAATGTGATCCTTGGAGATGAAGAGCAGACTATCACCGTTAATGAAGAAGAAAATATCGAAATCTACCGCACTTCACATTCCGATGATGCAATTATTATCAAAGATTTCAACAGAGTAAGATAATCACTGATTACTATGACGATTTCTTTAACAAGTATTGTTTTGCCTATTCGTCTGTTATAATGTCATTTTATATGCTTCAAATTCACAGTTGTGAAATAGTGTGTTTTTTTACTTTCAGAGATTAGAGGTAATCGCGCCTAAAGGTGGTGAAAAATGTTTCGTGAGACCATTGCGTGCAAGTAAGAATGTGGAACCATCCAAATTAAAAAGAAATTTGGAAAATGACACTGAACAGGTATGTGAAATTTATCACATGTTCTTACACATCCCTTAATAAATAAATTAAATAAACAAATAAATGTATGTATTGGATCTACTAGTTTTATTTCTATATTTCCACACACTAAACTAATTGAGTGTGTTTCATAAATT